CTTTGGACAAAAATAGGCAAAAACTTTCCAGCCTTGAAATTGGATCGAGTTCATTTTTCTCTGATGGTTGCTTTGAATGATTCTTAAATGTTGTTCTCGATAGAAAAGTTAAAACGTTGCGTCCATAGCGCATTAAGACTTTCATTTAATATATAAGATTGAAATATTTATATTTATTTCATGGACCGAATCAGTTTTTGAAAAAATTATCTCAGCATGGGGTTGCTTCTTTCAGTTAATTCATTTCAGACTGAAATGAATCTGTAAACGCAACATTTTGGACAAAAATAGGCAAGTACTGTCCAGCCTTGAAATTGGATCGAGTTCGTTTTTCTCTGATGGTTGCTTTGAATGATTCTTAAACGTTGTGCTCGATAGAAAAGTTAAAAACGTTGCGTCCACAGCGCATTAAGACTTTCAATTAGTATATAAGATATAAGATTGAAATATTTATATTAATTTCATGGACCGATTCGGTTTTCGAAAAAAGTATCTCAGCATGGAGGTCGCTGTTTTCAGTCAATTCGTTTCAGACTGAAATGAATCTGTTAACTCAAAACTTTGGACAAAAATAGGCAAAAACTCTCCAGCCTTGAAACTGGATCGAGTTCATTTTTCTCTGATGGTTGCTTTGAATGATTCTTAAACGTTGTTCTTGATAGAAAAGTTAAAACGTTGCGTCCATAGCGCATTAAGACTTTCATTTAATATATAAGATTGAATTATTTATATTTATTTCATGGACCGAATCAGTTTTCGAAAAAATTATCTCAGCATGGAGGTTGCTGCTTTCAGTTAATTCGTTTCAGACTGAAATGAATCTGTAAACGCAAAATTTTGGACAAAAATAGGCCAGTACTGTCCAGCCTTGAAATTGGATCGAGTTCGTTTTTCTCTGATGGTTGCTTTGAATGATTCTTAAACGTTGTGCTCGATAGAAAAGTTAAAAAGGTTGCGTCCACAGCGCATTAAGACTTTCAATTAGTAGGTAGATATAAGATTGAAATATTTATATTTATTTCATGGACCGAATCGGTTTTCGAAAAAATTATCTCAGCTTGGAGGTTGCTGTTTTCAGTTAATTCGTTTCAGACTGAAATGAATCTGTAAGCTCAAAACTTTGGACAAAAATAGGCAAAAACTGTCCAGCCTTGAAATTGGATCGAGTTCATTTTTCTCTGACGGTTGCTTTGAAAGATTCTTTAACGTTGTTCTCGATAGAAAAGTTAAAACGTTGCGTCCATAGCGCATTAAGACTTTCATTTAATATATAAGATTGAATTATTTATATTTATTTCATGGACCGAATCAGTTTTCGAAAAAATTATCTCAGCATGAGGGTAGCTGTTTTCAATTAATTCGTTTCAGACTGAAATGAATCTGTAAACGCAAAATTTTGGACAAAAATAGGCAAGTACTGTCCAGCCTTGAAGTTGGATCGAGCTCATTTTTCTCTGATGGTTGCTTTGAATGATTCTTGAACATTGTGCTCGATAGAAAAGTTAAAACGTTGCGTCCAAAGCGCATTAAGACTTTCATTTAATATATAAGATTAAAATATTTTTATTTATTTCATGGACCGAATCGGTTTCCGAAAAAACTATCTCAGCATGGAGGTTGCTGTTTTCAGTTTATTCGTTTCAGACTGAAATGAATCTGTAAACGCAACATTTTGGACAAAATAGGCAAGTACTGTCCAGCCTTGAAATTGGATCGAGTTCATTTTTCTCTGCTGGTTGCTTTGATTGATTCCTAAACGTTGTGCTCGATAGAAAAGTTAAAATGTTGCGACCATAGCGCATTAAGAATTTCAATTAATATATAAGATTGAAATATTTATATTTATTTCATGGAACGAATCAGATTTCGAAAAAATTATCTCAGCATGGGGGTTGCTGTTTTCAGTTAATTCGTTTCAGACTGAAAAGAATCTGCAAACGCAAAATTTAGGACAAAAATAGGCAAGTACTGTCCAGCCTTGAAATTGGATCGAGTTCATTTTTCTCTGATGGTTGCTTTGAATGATTCTTAAACGTTCTCGATAGAAAAGTTAAAACGTTGCGTCCATAGCGCATTAATACTTTCATTTAATATATAAGATTGAAATATTTATATTTATTTCATGGACCGAATCGGTTTCCGAAAAAATTATCTCAGCATGGAGGTTGCTGTTTTCAGTGTATTCGTTTCAGACTGAAATGAATCTGCAAACGCAACATTTAGGACAAAATAGGCAAGTACTGTCCAGCCTTGAAATTGGATCGAGTTCATTTTTCTCTGCTGGTTGCTTTGATTGATTCCTAAACGTTGTGCTCGATAGAAAAGTTAAAATGTTGCGTCCATAGCGCATTAAGAATTTCATTTAATATATAAGATTGAAATATTTATATTTATTTCATGGACCGAATCAGTTTTCGAAAAAATTATCTCAGCATGGGGGTTGCTGTTTTCAGTTAATTCGTTTCAGACTGAAAAGAATCTGCAAACGCAAAATTTAGGACAAAAATAGGCAAGTACTGTCCAGCCTTGAAATTGGATCGAGTTCATTTTTCTCTGATGGTTGCTTTGAATGATTCTTAAACGTTCTCGATAGAAAAGTTAAAACGTTGCGTCCATAGCGCATTAATACTTTCATTTAATATATAAGATTGAAATATTTATATGTATTTCATGGACCGAATCGTTTTTCGAAAATAAAAATTTCTCAGAATGGAGGTTGCAGTTTCAATTTAATTCGTTTCAGACTGAAATGAACCTGTAAACGCACAATTTTGGACAAAAGTAGGCAAGTACTGTCCAGCCTTGAAATTGGATCGAGTTCATTTTTCTCTGCTGGTTGCTTTGAATGATTCCTAAACGTTGTGCTCGATAGAAAAGTTAAAATGTTGCGTCAATAGCGCATTAAGACTTTCATTTAATATAAAGATTTAGGTTAACGCTACACAACCCAACATGTCAAGAATCTACTTTCAAGATGTCAGTAGCGTTCATGTTATTAATATCTTTCGCATTTGTGGATTCTTTCTGTAAGATTTGACCAAAGTTGAACAGTGCCATGGCATCTGACGTAAATTGCGATAATTTCATCAAAAATTGTTCAATTATTTATTTTAGGAGATAATTGACGAGCTCTTTTCAATGATTAGTCTTAATTTTTTTTCATTTAATTTGTTTTGGCTACAGAATTTTTTCTTGGCTTTGTTCTTGATTTGATGAGCATAATGTTTTGCCTACCAAATATATTTTCAGCATCCTCAGTATCGACTAAATTATGTCTATGAGAAAGCTCCATTTTGATTTGCAATTAGCGCTTGCGGAACACAATTAAATGTATACATGCGCATTCCTTTAGAAGAATAAAAAATTCAAAATTTTTCATAGACTTTCCATTATGAACACTGGTTCCTTATTAACCGAGTTAAGTACATTTTAGGAAATATTTTACGACCGTTAACCCTATTTTTGCCTCAACTTAATCAAAATTAACTCTAACAGCAGTTTTCTGGTTCCTACTACGGTACCCAGGGAATGGCAGGCCTGATTGTTTTGTTATTATACATTTAAAAAAGCCATTTCGAGTGTCATCACCTGCGAAGCAGTGCTTCGCAAACACTAGCAAGAACTGTAATAAAAACAGCACTATAAAGTGCAAACAGAAAATACAAAAACTATTATCTACACGCAAGCGTCTTATCCCTGCCTCAGTGAAATTTAGCAGGCTTTCAGTTACAACATACGAATCCGCACACCTCGGCAATGTTGTATGGATGGGCAGAGCAGCTGAAAAAGCTTTTGCATGAAAGTTGCGCCCTTCCGGCGCCATTACAAAACACTGGAAATGATGGTTTAAAAATCAGCAACGATGTTTTTATTTCTAATTTTTGTATTATTCCGAGACGGATGCTATTCTATTGGGCCCTAAGGGGCCAACAAAGTAGCAAACGAGATTGTCAATTAAATCTTAAAAAAATTTCTGAAATTTTTTTATGATAGTTTCAGCATTTTTTACAACAGACCTCAACCTATCCGGCAGCTTACAATGAATGTTAGTAGTTCAGACTTTCCCTATTGCTATGGTTAACCTAAACTATGAAAATAAACAAGAAAAATACAAACACAACAAAATACTAAAAAAAAGATGTTTTCAGCATTTTTTCCACTAAGAACTTCATAATACTCAATGGGAAACTCGTTTTTGACATCAAAATCCATTAATTGTGAAATTTTTTAATTTTCTCAAAACCAAAAATATATATATGCCAAACGGTTAAATTTATTATGCCACATGTCTTGGGCACGATTAAAAAGGTCTTCTTGACCAAAGCCGAAAAATTTACTGAATTAGAGATAATAAAAAAAAACTTTTTGGAGTCACTGGAAAAAGGCTAAAAATGACCAAAACCCATCTTAAAAATAAAACCATCGCCAAACGGCATATATCAAATGCCATTATTTCCGGGTTCTAGAGTCGCATGCAAAACATAAGGGAATTCCAGCAAGGAGTTTTCAAGCACCCGACTAATTTTTTCAATAAAGACAAAATAAGTTAAGCTGGACAAATGTCAAACGTTCCGAGGGGCCCTACCCCCTCTCAATGGGTTTCTATAGCGTCAGGGGCACGAACCCATCAAGCCACAAATTAGTAGAAAATTCGGCTAGGTCTCGGATTTTTATGATTTCGAGGCTTAGTCTCAAATAAAGCACTAGCCTCAAATAAATTTCAGGCGTTGAACATAGCCGAGCAAACCATTGAACATAGCCATCAAATAATTGAAACAGTGCTACGGCGTTTTGACCTTTGGCCTGTACTCATAGAGTAATTTCAGATAAGGTACACCGTCTGCTCGTCGCGCAATCTTATTTTCGGCCGGATAGATTCGTGCAACTTCTTAGTCTAATACCGATCTTTATCTTACTCTTATATCTCCTAGTCTCAATAGATCTAGTGTATACTGGTTTATGCGAGTTAGTTCTTGGAGTTTATCCAGAAGGAAAACAACTGTATTCAAAGTTTTATTCAAATTGTTCTGGTGCTGAAACTACAAGTAGTTTCAGCACTTACAAATAAGTGTCAATGTTAGAGATGGAATATGATTGGTTAGTTAGTAATATTTAACAGTGATAATTTATCAATAAGATAATTGGTTCATAAATACTAGTTTATTACTGATTCCACTACTGAGGCAAAAAAGTCCTTTTCTAGTTTGTAATTGATTAGAGCCAAGTACATCAAAAGAGAGTGCTATCTGTTTCAAGAAACTTCTGTGGGTACTGGTCTGTCTTATTATCACGTCCTTTAGAAAAACAAATCGACCTTGATTTAATGTTGAAAACCTTGTTTGCAACAAAAAAGAACGAGTGATAAAATGAGTTAAATAATTTTCATTTCAGATTTCGAATAAAGATATTCATATAATCGAATAATAGCACCAACTTAAAACCAAACGATTTATCACTGAAAATTAGATAAAATGGTCACTGTTAATTTAACTCTACTAAATCGCAATAGTTTGAAAGCTAACACTTTCTATAGCATGCCGATCCGTAGGTGCGATCGTATCTCCCTTAATTTTGTTTGAGAAGTTTTTGAGAGGGTCGCTTACCTATTTGATACTATTTTACATCTATCTTTGGCCGTAAAACTCAAAAATTTGGTATCGAAAAGTAATAATTTGATCCCACCGAAAAAAAATCCGGCGGCTTTGGTTCATTTTAGTGCATCGGTGAAGCTCGAAAAATCTGTCAGCCCTAAAAAAATTGTCAAAATTTTTTCCAAAAACCACCGAACCTACTCGTCAGAAAACCCTGCGGACGTCACTGATTACAAATAGAGTGAAATGGAATTGGGCAAGCAATAATACACTTATTTTTTTCGAGTTTTTCTATTCGATAAAAATTTATAGAGGCAAATGACAGCCGGTTACCGATTTCCGAAAAAAAAACCTATTCATTTTCATACGACTAAATTACATCATTAAAACTCTTACGGCAATTGCTACGGTTTAAACATAGTAAACATTAGCAAACCAAGTTGAAAATTTGCGTTCTGAAGGTGAAATTAGACATTTACTCTTATTTCGAAACTTTTTTCGATTTGAGATTGATATTCAAGATTAACCCGGTAAAACATAAATTGAGAAATTTTTCTTAAGACTGAATGCTTCATAGCACAGAAGAATTCACTCAACCTGAACAGTGTGTTTGCTACCTTGTCTTGAGTAACACTAAATGACCAGAAATATTATCTAACAAACTAAATAGTTCTCCGTCCGTCCTCACTTTGTGACTTAGATTGGGACTGACTTGACCTAGCGCTGTGGTGCAGTCTGTCCATTACCATTGTCCATCTGGTCGCAAGCGGCGGCGGCCGAAGAGTTCAATTGAGCACGAGCTGCAGCCGCTGTTGATGACGAGGACGAAGAAGAAGACTCGAGTGAGGAGGTGGTCACATCTGCTCGCAGACTATGTACCCTAAGTTTGAGTCTATTCTCGAACTGATAGCCACTGAAATGCATAGTTTTGCTCAACAGCTCCTCCACCTCATCTGTGGTAGCAGATGAAAATTTGGGCGGTGATTTAGAATGGAGTAGCAACATGAGTTTGTATTTGGCCAGAGCCAGCTCGTACAGTCCGTAGGCCTTTTCCAGACTGAAACTACTGTGAGATGATGATTTCTGAACGGTTGAGAGATACGCTCGGAGTGAGGTTAAAGTGTCAATTGCGGAGTGGTATTCAGATGAGATGGTTTGCAAGGCCCCACAGAGGAGATTGGCCATCGGTCTGAGCTTCCTGTCAAACTGGTCCAACTTACCCATCCACTCGATTGCATCAGTCCTATTCTCTTCCGACAGGAGATTCAGATGGTTCCAAAAGTACAACATCTCGAAGATGAGCAACCTCAAGTGTGATTGTAACGTTGCCTCTTTCTTGTCCCCCTCTTTCTCTATATTGTAGCACAGTTTTGCTCGTGAAATTACGTAAAACTCTGAGTTGTTGGGGTGTTTCTTCTTAATCATGGCCACCCTTTTGATCATTGACAGAGCCTGTTTGGAACCGTTGCCGCCAAGGACTCCAACACAAAGCGCATTCGCATAAAGGTACAGTCCCTCGGACCAATATGAGCAGTCTTTAATTGTGGAGAAATGCTCGACTGCTTTTCGAAAGTGACATTTAATAACCCAACACCACCCGATCTCGAACACCAGCAGCACACGAAGCTTCTCTAAATCACTTTCTCCGCTGCTGATGCAACAGCTGTCTTTCGCAAGCATGTACAGCCTCAGACCATCTTCAACATCATTCTTACGCAGGATTGACAATTTACCTTTGAAAAAGTGAACAATCCACGAACACTCACTCAGAGCATGTGGAGATTCGGTCAAAATTTCTTCGGCTACGGAGAATCCGACTTCTAAGTCCTCCTTATTGCAGCACATGAGGGGCTTGGCGATTAAATAGTACCAGAGTAAAATTAGAGAGGCAAGTGGAGAGTGGAAATCATTTCCACGTCGACACAAGTCTAGATTCTTCAGACCTTTGACTCTGTCGCTCTCATAGCCCATCACATTCATCACTGATGCATAGGAGGGCGGCAGGATACTGAGAAGCAAGTTGGTGAAGCCAACACCAAAACACACCGCAGCGTACAGGCCATCATATGCACCTGTGCCGGCGGTGGCAAAAGCTGTGGGGCCGGCAGATGGGGTGAAGCGGCGGAGCACCTGTGACTCTCGCTGCTGTTTCAGCTTCATCAACGCCACCTCGTTCTGGTGAAACAACTTGGCCGCCTTCCTCACATACCAGCCACATTGCAACGCAACTGATATCTCGAACTTGATGAGCAATAGCGACGCTTTAAACAAGTAGGCATCTGCTTGACACACACTTGCGTACAGCTTCGCAAACTCACTGCTATGTTTGCAGTTTCTTATTTGTTTGTACATACTCTCGCATTCCTTCACCACCGCTCTAGCTTTCACAATATGGGCCGTATCTTGACTCAAAATTGCCTTTACAACATGTACAAAGGAGTATCCGTTAGCCATTGGCGCGCTGTATATTTTGAAGGACTGGAAATGTGACTCTGCTATTGCTAGACTAGTTCCACTGAGCACTAGTTTCACACCTTCGAATGCTGCATTGCTCTCGTCGAATTCTATTTCGTCTGGCGAGAACTCCACTTCCTCGAAACTTTCATCTGAAGAGTCGCCTGCTGTGCCACCACATTCACAATGGTTGAAAGAGTTGACGCTATCTGCGTTCGTACAGGCAGCAGCCCCATTAGAAGGCTCAGTTTGAAATTCAAGCTCTTCTCGGTCATGGTGAGGATAACCAGTTACATATATCTCGTCACATGCAATCTCAGCAGCAAAACCAGACTCTGTGCCCACCTTGTCCTCATCCTTTCTCAAGACGACTGCATCAGCCGCCACAGTATAAGACGAAGACGGCGACGAAACTCCCGTCTCCGCCTGGTCAAACGCATCACACATTACGATCTTAAAAGCAGATAGATATTTTTTCTTTCTTTTTTTTTAATAAATCAGGGACGAAAATATCATGATTACCGAAGTCACTTCACTAGTCCTTCATCTTATCACCCAGCCAAAAACCATTGAATTTCATAGATTAGAAATCATCAACAGAGGTTACTTGTTTCAGCCTGTCGCATTCGAAATACAAGGAGGCGCAGGACCAGCCACCAAACGTTTTCTTTCTAAGCTCGGCAAGCTGATTCAAGATTCCACCAACGAAGCCCGTGCTTCTGCCTTCCTTAGGCAAAGAATATCAGTTTGCATACAGATGTCTAACGCAGCATGTGTCATCGAAACTCTACGCCCTCAAGCTTCTCTCGATGAAGTTTTTATGATCCTCTAATTCTCTGTCACCTTGTATCTCACTTTCGGCTAATTTCTTATCATGTCATTGCCAACATCCGGCCTTTTTATCTGATAGATTTCCCATATGGTGCACTCTTTCACTCCCGGTGCTATCTTGGTTTCATGCTTCAGTTGTTGTTTTGCTATTTGAAATAAATTTAAAAAATAAAGTATAACGTGAATGAAAGTTACTACTGCTACTGCGGCCAAGTCAGAAATGGGCTAGGGCTTCCAATTTTTTTTAAAAAACCTCTGCATGTAGTACAATTGAAGTTTGTAGCCAAATAAAGCATCTCAAAGCATATTTTCACCGATTGCGCTTGTAACGGTACACTTTGGCCTGAAAAAAAAAATCAAAAAACAGTGGTTTTTTTAACATTGAATTTTTTTAAGTTTTTTTTCTCAAAAGTTTCTGAAAGTTTTATTTTTCATTTTTAAACCTACTGTATAGCTTAATCGGTTTGCAAATTATCTTAGCTTTCCTGGGATACTAAAATTGTTGGGTTGGGATTAAATTTTAAAGATTTTTTAAATTTTAGGACTGGAGGTACTTTTTTGGCCACCTATGTAGTAATTTTTAACATCCTGAAAAACACCTTTACCGAGTGTTTTTTTACCTAATTTTGAACCAGTAAGTTTGTATATGCCTCTTCTTTGTAAAAATAATACTTCTTGAGTTCTAACTTTTATCGGACTCGGGCCTGGAATTTTTGCTCAACTTTTGAAAGTGAGAAAAAGGCTAGGGACTTTCTGGCCAGCTCAAAGAAAGATGTTCTCCTCTGAAAACTACGACATTCTGAAAATTTGCATGTGTATAGATCTTTCCAAGCTGATTCCAATGATATATATTTCGTAGGGTTTCAAAATTTTACATCTAAATATTTTGAGAATGCGTTAAAATTGTAAATTCAAACAAACGTTTTCGCACATTTTGTGCATCTTCAGGTTTTAAAAATTCTAAACTATCTGTACAAAATGACCAAAGATCATGAAAAGTGTCACACACATCATTACTTCAAAATTTTAAAAATTCAACCAATCAAAACTTTACAAATATCACTGAAATTATGTAACAACTATTTTGTAACAACAGGCTGAGACGGGGATGGAATAACATTTCTATGCTCCTTCTTTTATGCGCTGGTGATATTGAAATTAATCCTGGCCCGGCTGTCGACCCTACTCAGTTGTTCAGATTTGTTAACGCCGCGGAGATCTTAGTCGGGTCGTCTGTGGCCATCTCGGACCTAACCTCCGGTATCTATGATGCTTCTATCCTCAAAGTTGACAACGATCGCTTCTTTGCTCACTTTCGTGGTTGGAATAAAAGCTATGACTCCTGGGTCAACCTTGATCAAATTTTCCGGCTCCCTGATGGTTATGTTCCGATAGGCCGGAATTCTCGCGGTCCTATTTGCCTTCTCCCGCCTCCTGTCTCCAGTCCTATCTCTGTCGCTTTAACGAGTTCTCCTTCTCGGGATGCTCCTGTTAGCTCTGGCCTCTCTCAAGGGATGTCAAGTATGACGATCTCGGCTGAGCTCGCCGAAAGCGCTGTGCCGGATCTTTCTGACGTCATGTCTTCCAGAGATGACACTGTCCGGTTCGTTCCGATTTCTCTTCGTAACGAGTGGTCTAAGGTTGTTGGTCACGCCCTTGACAACTGCGCCACCGCTCCGGACAATCTGAAAAACTGGACTCGGTTGCTCATGCTCCCCAAATGTATCTTGAAAGCCCCTCGCCGCGGAGGCAAGTCTCACGCCGCTAATAACTGCAGAGACATTCGCCAAAGAATCAAGTCCTGGAAGGAGGGCAATATTTCGGACCTCTGGTCTAACGCTACCAAAGGATCTAAAGAGCGAACGAAGAAAAACAGCAAACCTTCTCGTGACTTTAATGTCCGCAGAGCCAAAGAGCTAGCAGGCCTCGGTCAGTTCGGCAGAGCAGCTAAAGCCCTGTGTTCCGATGGCCTCGTGTCCAAAAGTGACGAGTCGCTTAAGGACCTTCGCAGTCTTCATCCTTCCGCTGACCCTCCCGTCTTTTCTGGCCGGGATGAATCCCCTCTTGCCTACCAATTCGAATCTGAGTTCGTTCATAAGTCTCTCAAAAGTTTTCCTAGCGGCACTGCTGCCGGTCCTTCGCGCTGGTTTCCTATGCACTTTGTTCACGCCGTTGAGTGCCCCACTCCTCAGACTGCTGCCAGAACGTTAGAGTCTCTCAACAGGGTTGTTAATATCCTCGCTGCCAGGCAAGCCCCTTCTAGTCTCTCTCCGTGGCTGTGCAGTGCGAATCTCTTTGCCACCGCTAAACCCAAGGGTGGTGTCCGGCCTATTGCGGTCGGCGAAGTGCTCCGAAGGCTCACTGCTAAATGCCTTGCTAAAGCCGCCAACGCTGAAGCTCGTGATTTTCTGTGTCCTCACCAGCTTGGAGTCGCTACCAGCGGTGGCTCGGAAGCCATCGTCCACGCTACTAAAATGACAGTCAAAAAGTGCTCGGAACATGGTCACCAAGGCGTCTTAACAGTGGATTTTGAGAACGCTTTCAACACGCTAGACCGCACCGAGATCCTCCTTCAAGTTCGCAACCGTCTTCCCGGTCTCTCCGCCTTTGTTGAGTTTACCTACGGTCACCACAGTCATCTGCTGTTCGAGGATGTCATTCTCAACAGCGAGAAAGGAGTTCAACAGGGGGGATCCGCTAGGGCCTCTCATTTTTGCGGTCACCCTGCACTCTCTAGTCGAATCTCTCAAGTCGGAAGTCCCCGGTCTCACCCTCAACTGCTGGTACCTTGATGATGGGATTTGTGCCGGCGACGAAGACTCCTTGCTCAAGGCTCTCGAACTCATCACTTCCAACGGCTTGCATCTCGGCCTCAAAGTCAAGCACAGTAAGTGTGAGTTGTGGGCCCCTGTGGAGTTCTCCTCCATCCCCGTCTCTATCCCGAGAGCAGCGTCTAATGGCTTCGAGCTTCTTGGCGCCCCCATTGGTGATACTGAGTTCTCAGTTAAAGTCCTGGACAAACGCATCTCGAAGGCCACCAAATGTCTTGAAAAGTTACCTCTTCTTGATGACCCCCAGCTCTCACTTGGCATCACTCGCACTTGCCTTGCTGCTCCCAAGCTGACGTACTCTCTTCGCACTCAGCCGCCCTCTCGGCCTGTCTCAGCTTCCCTGCAAGTTTTTGATGAACTCCTCCGCGATGCTCTTTCTGTCATAGTTGGCTCACCTGTTCCTGATCTTGCCTGGTCCCAGTCTTCCCTGCCTATCAAAGATGGCGGACTTGGCGTCCGGCAAGCTCGCGACCAACACATCCCTGCCTTCCTAGGGTCTTCGTGTCAGTCAGCTCATTTGGTCTCGTTTCTTACCGAATGCGACATCACTGATACGCCGGAGTTCCTGCGTGCCTCGAACGACTTCCGTGAACAGTCTGGAAGCGTTAACACTCCCGGTTTTACTCAAGAAGCTTTCCAAGAGAAACTCGATAAGGCCACCTACAACGCTTTCTTCTCGTCTCTTCCCGATTCCCGCGAGCAAGCTCGTCTTCAGTCGCTCTCTCTGCCTTACGCCGGCGCTTGGCTTACCGCAGTCCCCATTAAAGGTCTTGGCCTGCACCTGCTACCTGCTGAGTTCCAAGCTGCTGTCAGATACCGCCTTGGTCTTCCTGTGTTCGCGTCTGCTCGTAGGTGCCCCGCGTGTCCGTCTGGCATTCTGGACGTCCTCGGGGACCACGCTGTCGCTTGTGGGGGGAGTGGTGGCCGGATCTCCCGTCACGACAGACTACGGGACATTATTTTCAATGCTACCTCGGCTGCCTCTTTAGCCCCCATCAAGGAGCAACGGAACCTCATCCCTGGAGAACGGTCCAGACCCGGCGATATTTTTATCCCTACTTGGAGCGCTGGTCGCCCAGCTGCTTTCGACGTCACCGTGACATCCCCGCTGCAGTTATCTCTTCTCTCTCGTGCGGCGGAGACCCCCGGGGCGTCCCTGGAAGTTGCTGAGGACCGCAAATTTTCGAAACACGAGAAAAACTGTGAGGAACATGGAATCAGTTTTTTCCCGTTAGCAGTCGAAACGCTCGGGGGTTGGTCCGCTTTAGCTATCAAAACCCTCAAGTCAGTTGCTATCCTCGCTGATGCCAGACTTTCTGGTTCACGTGATGCTCGTGTTGCCCCAGTTCGCCCTCTCCAGAGCCTCTCAGTGTGCCTCATGAGAGGAAACGCCACTATGATTGTCAGCCGGGCCATCTAGTCTTGTGCAGTTTGTTACGTTTTTTGCATTCCCAATTCTGGTGCTCCTTTGTTCCTTTGCTGTTAGCGCATTCCCCCTCTCTTTTCAATCCTCAATGATTCATCCCACATTTGTTGTTTGTTTTGTATATGTAAGCAATTTTTATTATCGTATATTATTTTTATTTTACTAACTGTTATATTAATTCAAAATTTTGTAACATTTTAAAACATTTTGTCACAAATTTCTGAGAGTTTTCTTCATTTTTATTTTCACATTTTCGTTTTGTGGCTAATTTTTATGCTAACATGTAAGTTGTTTCAAAATTTTGTTGTTTTAGCCAGAATTTTTCGATTCTGGAACTATAGCCTTAGTTCCAGAAACTGCTCACTT